CCCCAAAACCCCAAAACCCCAGCAGAAAACTTCAATTTTACTTTGATAATTATAAAATTGGAATAAAATAAAATAATATTTAATTGTTGTTATTGAAAGATGGATCAAAGATCAAGATCACAAGCTCCAGGAAATAGAACTCAACAATCCTAAGGCAATGCCATGGAATCATCTCAAAGGAGAACTATCCATGACATGGATGCATTCAAGGAGAAGAAATAAACAGAGTCAGCTCCCTTCTTTAGAACTGCACGAGTACAAACTTGCTCTCATGTGATGGTTAAAAACGGAAAAGCTATAGCTGTAGCTTTCCCTCTTGAGAAAACAGGTTGGAAAAACCCAAATTCCTATGCCAATACCAAGAGATCAGTAGAGACTGAATCATGGGCTGCGTAAGTATTGCATCATAACTAAACATTACCGATATTAAATCCAATTTAAGTGATTTCTACATTTCTTCCTCTTTAGAAATGAAACTCTCAAATTGAATTTGATAAAGGTTTATATTTTCATTACCAAAAGAATACATCATCATACTCATATTCAATTATATAGTTAGACATACAAGTAGAGAGACAACTATCACGCAGGAATGTTAAAGAAACCTTTAGAGCCCTACAACCCATACTCTTTCAGAAGCAGACTCCCTCAACCAACAGTAGTTATGCCATATAAAAATTCTTCATAAATCGTTATCGGCGACCGTAGCACAGACGATAAGAGATTATTCAAGACAACAAATCATCTAATGCAGATCCAGCCTAACCTTGAAAATGCTGTTACAAATGGAGGCATCTTAGCTGCTCAAACTAAATGGATTCATTATAACCAAGGCAAATAGTGAAATAATCGCTCTCAAAATTGTTATGATGAGATAATAGGATCTTTCTGAATGCTTCTTATCAACTCACTCACTCTTAGAAATATAATTTTATAATTTAAGATGTTTCCTATTACATCTCAAGCAGACTAAACGGGGTTTTGGGGTTTTGGGGTTTTGGGGTTTTGGGG